GAAAAAGTTTACCAGCATTGTGGTGGGCACCTATAGTCTCAGCTACTTGGGAGGCTGAGGCAGGAGGATTGCTTGAGCCCAGGAGTTTAAGGTTGCTGTGAGCTATGGTGATGCCACTGCATTCTACCCAGGGGGATAGAGCAAGACCCTGTCTCAAGAAAAAAAGAAGAAAAAATGTCCTGTCAGCTTCTCACTTTTAATGTACGTAATTTATATTGCTGTTACCTAGAAATTCAACCTTGAACAGATCCACTAATGGGGATTCCTTTTTCTGTTAAATGGTGAATATTCAAATGCTTGGAACATCAGTTCTTGTAAAAGTGTGTCTGTAGGGTGTGATCTTCGCAACAGCATAGGGATCTTAATCCTAGGTTCTCATACAAATGGAGCACAAAGGGTGCTGAGACTAAGGGCTAAAGGTGGGAGACTGAACAAATGCAGACCACCAGGCACTACTACTCCTTTCATCAGCTCTGACCTGCTCTTGTGCCGGGGGTCTCATCAGGCCTGTGTCTGCCTTCCTCCTGAATAGGCCAGAGAATTCGTGTAAACAGCCTTCCTACAGCAACTCCCTACTCCAGGTGGCCAGACAGGAGCTCCCCACCAGTGGAGCACATTGACACAGAGGCAAAGTTAACTGGTGCTGGGGCAGCCATAGTTGCTGCTAAGCGGCTGGCATTGGAAGAGGTTTTGACAGCTTGATCTTTGGCTATGCCAGGAACCCATCTCAAGCAGCAGCTCTTCTCCTATGCTGTTCTGGGCTTTGCCCTGAGAACATGGGGCTCTTCTGTTTGATGGTCACCTTCCTCATCCTCTTAGCTGTGTGAGGCTCCACAGGGCCACCTACCTGTCCCGCTCCTGAGACTCTATGCCGTTCCTGGTGCTGGAGTGTGCTGTACTTTACCATTAAGGACAGCATTTCTCTCTTTGAAAAACAAACAAACATATGTAGCACAAAACACTGTTTTTATTATTTTGGAGTCTAATAGATTAACCCAAGCACTGTTAAACTAACATGTTTACATTTCAGCGTTTGGGATGCTTTCTGGATATTTTAAGAGAATCATAATTACATGTATATACAGCTACAAATGAGGCTACTACTACTACAAACTCAATGAAATATTCTTTAGAATATGACTTAAATTCATAACTCAAAGGAATATTACCTACTGGGTGTCATCTACTTTTAACAAAAATTGACTGACAATCTTAATACCTACTTTTGGCCTACATTTAGTTCTTGAAAGTTAAAAGGAACAGACCAGACACAGTGGCTCATGCCTATAATCTCAGCACTCTGGGAATTCAAGGCAAGAGGATCACTTGAGGCCAGGAATTCTCAAGACCAGCTAGGGCAACATAGCAAGACCTCCATCTCTACAAAAAGTTGTTTTTTGTTTCTTTTTTTTAATTAGCACAGTGGCACAAACCTAGAGTCCCAGTTACTAGGGAGACTGAGTGGGGAGGATGGCTTAAGTCCAGAGTTTAAGGCTGCAGTGTGATAAGATTGTGCCACTGCATTCTAGCCTGAGTAACAGGGTGAGACTCGGTCTCAAAAAAAGGTTAAAATTTCAGTTTAAAACAAAAAGGAGCAGCTACATTTGTTTCTCTGGTCATGTTGTTGAAGTACTACTGGGTAGAGCCATGACTGAAAGACCATCAAGACCCACCACATTGGCTCATCTCCCATAACTCAGTGGTTAAGGTGCCAGCCACGTATACTGGGCTGGTGGGTTCACACCGGGCCCGGGCCAGGTAAACAACAATGACAACTACAATAAAAATAGCAGGTCGTCATGGCAGGCACCTACAGTCCCAGCTACTTGGGAGGCTGAGGCAAGAGAATTGCTTAAGCCCAAGAGTTAGAGGTTTCTGTGAGCTGTGACATCATGGCACTGTACGCAGGGCAACAGCTTGAGACTCTTGTCTCAAAAAAAAAAAAAAAAGACCCACCACATGGTCCTCCAGCTTCCCAAGTAGCCAACATCTAAAGAGCAGAATTGTTGCTTCCAAAGGGCCTCAGAGCATTTGGCTAATCCTCTGCTGGAAACACTGGTGTCTTCTCTTTAGAGATATAAAAATGTCAAAGCTATTAAAACATAAACATACTGTGATGAGGGTCATCTAATCTATCAGTGTATGCAGAGCATTCTAGAGTCAGGTGAACAGAGGCCAGGTTAGACAGGTTTGGTTGAGCTGCCAAAGGCCCAGACGTCCACTGCAGCGAGGGGGCTGGGCTCCAGCTTGGAAAGCAGCACACAAATGGAGCACTAGGACACAGTATCTGAGAACCACCCACCAAGTGGGAAAGCTGCCAGGTGCAGCTGTGTCAGGTTGCTCCTTCTGAGGGGGATGGGTGACTTCTATATCTCCTTATAGTGGATAGCCACAGAAATGGGACTGCTTTATGGAGAAAATGAAGGTGATTATGAGTCTTACAAGAAGCTTGGGAAGATGAAAATTGGGATCATATTATCAAATACAAGGTGTGAAAATTAAGTTCGTGAACTCATTCTTTAAAAAGTACTATGGGTGGTGCTTGTGGCTCAAAGGAGTAGGGTGCCAGCCCTATATACTGGAGGTGGTGGGTTCAAACCCAGCCCCTGCCAAAAACTGCAAAAAAAGAAAAATACTAAATACCTCACTGAATATGCCTATGGTTGCTTTCAAGGTACTCTCCTTGGGAAGCTATGCGCGATGTCAGTGCCTAGTCCAGCTTCAAAGCAATTTTGGAACTGTTTTTCTGGAATGGCCCTCAGAACTGTCATTATATTATCTTTAATGCCTTGAATGTCATCAAAATGTCTTCCTTTCAGTATTTCCTGTATCTTTGAGTAAAGAAAAGAGTCACTGGGAGCCAGATCCGGTGAGTAGGGAGAGGGTTCCAATACAGTTCTTTTGTTTACTGGCTAAAAACTCCCTCATAGACAGTGCTGTGTGAGCTGGCACATTGTCAGGAGGCAAGAGCCATGAGTTGTAGGTGAAAAGTTCAGGTTGTTTTCATCTCACTTTTTCACACAGCCTTTTTAGCACTTCCAAATAATAAACTTGATTGTCTAGTTGGTACAAATTCATAATGAACCATCCCTTCCATATCCGAAAAGGTTAGCAACATCATTTTAAATCTTGATTTGGACTGGCACAATTGACTGATTTCCACTGTGCACTTTGATACTTTGTTTAGGGTCATCTTGGTACATACACCTACGTGTTTCATCACCAGCGGTAACATGGCCCAAAATATCATCTTGCCTCTCCAAAAGGTCTGGGCAAACTTCCACTTTCCATTGTTTTTTGTACATTGATGAGCTCATTCAGGACCATTTTTGCACACACCTTGCACCTGCCAAGATTTTCAGTTAAGGAATTCTTACTTATTGATGTGTATTTGGTCTACTATGCTTCTCACAGCCAGCTGATGATTTTGATGCACAATTCAACAAAGTTTTGCAATGTTTTCATCAATTCCGCTCTTTACTAGACTCCCTGACCTCTCTTCATCAATGATGGCTTCCCTCCCCCCCAGAAAAACATTTAATCCATTTGTACACTGCTGTTTTCTTCATGGCATTATCCCCATAAACTTGTACTAACACGTCCCTAATTTCGCTTTCACTCTTGCCAAGTTTAACAGGAAATTTAATGTTTGTTCATTACTCTAATTCAAGCTCCAACATTCTTTCAGTGGCACACAAAAGGCACAACGGTAATGAACGTTACTCAGAAGACACTACCACACATCGACATGAGCACAGCTATAAGATTCTGATATACCAAGATTGTGAACCCTTACTGAGTTATTTGTACAGGGCTGCCAATGCAAATGCACCATGGAAAATTTGGGAACTTAGTTGGTAGACCTTACTTTTATAATTAGGTTTGGTTCCAGACCCAAGTGGATGTGAAGGGGTGTGTTCAGTGTGTGGAAAGCATACCTCAGAGTGAGAGAGACAATCAAATGCAGCAAGTCCATGACCTAGCTGGCTAGACCCATTTTTCAAATTGAGTCATTATTTACTTGAAATGCATAGATAGGTAGATCACTATGAAAGTTTTGAGACTGTTATGGTCCATTCTTTAACTTCCAAGAAACAGTCAGCAGTATCCTTTCTGATTCACCTGTGTGAATTTCAACTTGCTCAGCTTACCAGTGTTGCTGGGAGGGCTTCAGTTGTTTCCATCTGGGTGGATTTCGTGTTTCTTGATTTTTGTGTATCTCAAAACTTTTGTAATGACCCACATACTAAGTAAACAGTGCTGAGTTTTAGAGCCAGGTGTGAGTAATCTCCACTCTGGGAGGCCAAGGTGGGTGGATTGCTTGAGTTCAGAGGTTCAAGACCAGCCTGAACAAGAGTGAGACCCCTTCTCTACTATAAACAGAAAAACTAGCCATTGTGGCAGGCGCCTGTAGTCCCAGCTACTCAGGCTAAGGCAAGAGGATCACTTAAGCCCAAGAGTTTAAGGTTGCTGTGAACTATGACATCATGGCACTCTACTCAGGGCAACAGAGTGAGACTCTGTCTCAAAAAAATGAAGTAAAAATTCTGAGTTTTGATAATTATATGTATTCATATACCACCAATCAGTGTAAGAACATTTCCATCACTGCAGGAAGTTTTTTCACACCCTTTTCTAGTTAACAACTACATCTCTTTTCTTCTCAGAGGCATTCCCTGTTCTGATTTCTATTATTGCAGATTAGTTCTGCCTGTTCTTGAATTTCATAAAAATGGATTCTACAGTATCTATGCTTTCCTTCTGACTTCTTTTGCTCAAGTAACTTCTGTGACTTATCCATGTTGTTTTATCAGTAGTTCACTCCCTTTTAATACCGAGTAGTATTTATACATATGAATGTACCATAGTTTATCCATTATTCTGTTGGGGTTTTTCCAATTTTTAGCTATTGTGAATAAAGCTGGTATGAACTTTTTCAAGTAAGTGTTTTTGTGGAATAGCATTTCATTTCTCTTGGATTCAAACCTAGGAATAAAATGTTAACTCATAGTAAATATGCTTAATTTTATAAGAAACTGCCTGTTTTCCAAAATCACACCCTTTTACACTTCACCAGCAGTGTTTGAGAGCTGCTCCATGTCCTTACCAACATTTGGTTTTATTAGTCTATTGGTATTGTTAGTTTTAGCCACTGTAGTGAATTTACATTTTCTTTTGACAGAACAATTACAGTATCAGACTTCCAGGACCTGACATTTGCAATAATTTTTCTACCTTGACTCCATAAATGATCTTAGCAAATGGAAGCTCATTACCCTTCATAGCTGTCAGTTGCATTGCCTATCATAACATTCCATCCAACAGAGAATTACTCATTAAATTGGTGTGCCTGGGTATTTAACGATATAAATTTAGAGGTGTGTTGTGAAAGTCAATCTGAATGGAACAGCAACATTGTAACTTAAAATGTGTCAATAGGCGTGAGATGCCATTAGTTGCCCTGAGAGTGGACCACAGATCCGATGAAGTCAATCTGTCAGGAGCAAATGGGGCTAAAGTCTTGTGTTATGTGGCCTCATTCACTTCAGGACAAATGGGCTGGCTCAGCACCTGTGGCTCAAGTGGCTAAGGCGCTAGGCACATACACCTAAGGTGGCAGGTTCGAATCCAGTCTGGGCCTGCCAAACAGCAATGACGGCTGCAACCAAAAAGCAGCCAAACAGCAATGACGGCTGCCCGCG